GGATTTACCTGTACCATTTCCTTCTTAAAAGCAATGGCAGGGGCGCCTGGGTGGCTCAGTGGGTTGAGCCTCTGCCTTCGGCTCAGGTCATGGTCCCAGGGTCCTGGGATCGAGCCCCACGTCAGGCTGTCTGCTCTGCAGGGAGCCTGCTTCCTCCTCTCTCTCTCTGCCTGCCTCTCTGCCTACTTGTGATCTCTGTCTGTCAAATAAATAAATAAAATCTTTAAGAAAAAAAAAAAAAGCAATGGCAGGTGAGGCTCGGGGACAGGCTAATCAGGGAAAGTCTTTGTTCTTTTGCATAGTAAGAAAATGTAGAGACCCAGCCTCTTAACTTTTTAAGTGTACAAAACAGTGCTGTTAGCTACAGACACTAGTTTGTACAGCAAAGCTCTAGAATGTAGTCATCTAGCAGAAGGGAAACTTCATACCCATTGATTCCTTCTCAATCCCTGCCAGGGTCCTGAGCTGGGACTCTTACATCCCACACATAGCCCACACACCCCTTGGCCAACACAGTTTATGATTAAACTGGGATTCATTTGTGGGGGAACTAAATCATCCATAGTCTGAATTGCTCTGACGATGGCTAGATGGTAAATTAGAAATAGTGACTCAAGATGTCGCACACTGGCAGCCCTTAGCTTTGTTTAAAAAAAGTGAATTAATTGCCAACACTTGGAAATCATATTTCACATAGAAATCTGTATTTTCATTTTCTCTAGGAAGATCAGGTTTGGCAACCCTGGACTTAACTTCATTTCCATGCAGCCCCATGAGCCTGAGCTGAACAGCTGCTGTCCCCTCTCCAGACTGCACACCCCCCCGGCCCGCCCCGTTAAGTCCTACTCTGCTATACCTGGCCTGCCTGGTTATCCATCGTACTTACCTGGCTCTGTTGACTCTGGAGTTTGCAATCCCTGCACTAAGGCTGTTGCACAAATAAGGAGGTTGGCTGGGAACTGCAAAGGACCTGTAGACTTGGTCTCCTGCACTCCCTGTCCCTTGCCAGAGACTAACAGGATGCAAGTAATGCTCTAATGGTGAAATCTTGATTCTGTTCTAATTCGTTAGAAAAAAAAAACTCATTTGCAAACTTTGGTATTAATGTTAGTAACAAACTGGACCACAGCTCCCATTTGGCCACAACACATTATCCCTGAAAACCTCTGATAGAGAAATTTGATTCTGTGTTTCCCAGCATCGATTCTGGCTTTTGGATATGCCTACACAATGATGAAACCGTGGAACGTCGAACGAATTTTAGGGTGTGAAGAGTAAAATAATAGAATCAAGACTTTCTAGTTCATGTAATTATGAATGTTTCTAAAAATGTTGCTTCTAGGGGCGCCTGGGTGGCTCAGTGGGTTGAAGCTTCTGCCTTTGGCTCAGGTCATGATCCCAGGGTCCTGGGATCGAGCCCCGAATTGGGCTCCTTGCTCAGAAGGGAGCCTGCTTCCTCTTCTCTCTCTGCCTGCTTCTCTACTTGTGATCTCTGTCAAAAAAAAAAAAAAAAAAAAATCTTAAAAAAAAAAGTTGCTTCTAAGTAAAAATGTGAAAGCATGACATTTGTGTTACCATGTAAAATTATTTGGGGGAAAAAATGCAGAATGCTAGGCATCCAGGTCACAAAGCCATCACCTTGAAAAACTGACATTTCTGAGACAGGCATTGCGTTACAACAAATCCTTGTTGTAAATGGCCACTTTAATATGTCCCTATTCTCAAATTACCCAAAATATCTTTGTCTCAGTAGACTAAGGAATTACAAACCTGGGGAGAGGCAGAAAGGGGAACAATCTAAAGATAAACTGGGGGAAGTACAGGGATGTGTTAAATGGGCCCCCCAAAACGGATAGCAGTTCAAAACAGGAAGACTTTCTGGCCTGCAGAGAAAGCCCTTGCTCCAAATGTGTATGATTTGTGTCCAAAAATCTACTGCATCCAGATCGCGTCTCCCAGTCTGCGGTAACACTGCGGCCTGGGACACTGCCGTCCGTGCACAGCCATGCTGCTGTGCTCCTGGCCCCTTCCGTGCCTGCCTCCCACAGCCAACATGGGACAGACAGGTGCCCCCCGGGACTGCTGAGCGGGGGGGGGGGGGGGGGTGTTCGACGAGTCACTTCTGACTAAAATGGACAATGAGAAGTGGTGAGAAATGCTGTGGGTTTGTCAACTTAATTCTTGAGTTTCACCAATAGATTTTTCATTCGTTGTCTTACATTTCCTCTGAACCCCTAAATGGTCCGTAGCTTACAGGGTTGCTGCGAGGAATAAAGGAAATAGTGCATAAATAGGAAGCATTCGGGCTCAGCCTTAGCCTCCATCGAAATACTCAAATGTCATTTTCTACCCAAACCACGAGCTCCAGCCCTCTGAAAGAGGGCATCCACACCTGTCAAAGAATGTCCAGTCTCGGGTGCTTGGAAACCACTCTGACTTTTCAGAACTACTTTCACCGTGAATTGAGTTTGTAGGTCTTACAATACGTTTGCTGTGATACACCAACCAAGAGGCAACCTAAGTATTGCTCAAAGACAAGCAGGACTCATGTACGAATGTGTGCATTGTACAGTCTTCTCTGCGTTAGGAACGTACAACAACTGAATTAAGATTAAACACTTTAATCAACTATAATAAATTGATAATTATATATTATATAAAAATTCTGATTCATGCATCAGATTACATAAATTATACAACTGTCACATTATGCAATGCTTACAGACTTTTGGGTTTGTACCTGTAAAAATGTATACAAGTTACCAGAGCATTTTACTTAATAGGATGTAATACTCCTCAGTTATAAATAATGCTTGTGTCTTTCAAGTACCTGCTAAATATATACATTTCTAGATCTGCAGCATTTTTTTTTGTACCTCAAAATACAAACTGCCTGGAAGCTTCAAAGATTAATAGGTCCAACGTATCGTTTTTTACAGACCTCAATTCCATTGTAAGAGTGGAAATTTTCGACACAGAAAATAAATGAAATAAAACGTCAACTCTAGTTTAATGCTTGAAAGCTTCTACACTTTTTATTAAATACATCAGAAAACCCTTCATATGCAGATTAATTAGTTAAGGTGCTACCTATTGCATATTAAATACTTCCAATGATTGCATCTGGATTATTAAAGTTATAAATCTGAAAATGGGGGCTTTCGATGTGTGCTGACAGACCCTTACATCTCTGTGAACCAGCGGCACTGTGGTCCTTTACCTCTTACTTCAAAGAGATCGAGTGAATGAACATGCTTTATACTTCACTTACACACACACACACACACACACACACACACACACACACACATAGACACCCACCATATCTATAAGACATATGAGTACATGGACATCAAAAAGTTTCAGCTTGAATTACAAATCCAAAGTAGGTTGCTTCTCCTAAAAAGCTACAGGGGAAAATAAAAGCTCTAGTGTAACAATTACTAGATACATTAAAGACAGCAGTTTTTTAAGATTCTCCTTGCTAAAGAATAAGCACCCTTATGGGGGTGGAAGGAGGGGGGCAGAGGGGGATGTGAGGATGGAGAAGTAGGTGAAGGAAGGATGTAAGGAAAGCAAGTCTGTCACTAATGAGCTGAGTTTTACTTAGGTTTCCATTCATGAAATCCTTTTAAATACAAGGCAACATTTTCACAGCTGGAAAATTACAACAAAATCTTCATTTACTGCCAAAAGCAATAGATGTAGTTATGCATAATCTATGGATACTACTACGTTCATGGTGGGGGGGGTGGCAAAACGAGGTTCTATGCACAATGTAGCAGCAAAAAGCAATACTTGAACGTTTTTCATGAATGGGTGACACGTCACTTTATGTACAATTCTAAGCTATAACCCTGGGATTCGGTAAATGCAGTTTGAAGCCTAAGTGGTAAGACAGGAGGTTCAATACTATCAAAGCCAAATTTTAGAACTGGAAGGGGAACCGGTTGGAAAACAATACTGCTTTGAAAATAACAGCAGAAATACTTTAGTCAGTAACAGAAATATGTTAGCTCAAGATAGGTTTAGGACAAATATCGGTTCTGTGATTTAAAAAAAATTCTCTTATGGTGGGAATATTCTTTAGCATGCATTGTTTACGCCTAAAAGCAGAATCTGTCTGTAAGTCTACTGTGCTGTGCATTATTTAACGAGTGCGTATCTTTTATTTCTATGTCTAAACTACTAACAAAATATACCATTAGAATACTAAAAGTTACATTTTGGAGAAATTAACTGAAGGTGAACTTCTTGGCCTTTTTTCTCCACAATACTAGAAACTAAAACTACTCTGTTTGCTCTTCTGCCCAAACACAGGAAACACTGACATGTTTGCTTGGGAATTCATTTTTACTTTTTTAGTGTTTCATATTGACCAAATTATGAAAACACATAATAAGTCTGACTCCAGGTCACGAGCGGAAGTTCATAAACATTGGGACAGCACATTTTCAGGCAGTGACAAGTGCGGATTCGTTTTCAGCACAATTCTTGAGTCAGGTTGAAAGATAAAAACATTGATTCGGCTATAACCAGATCATTCACGTCTGGTAAATTTAATCCTAAACAGTTCCAACCTGGCAGAGAACCTCTCCTTAGATATGAACTTCCTCATAAAAAGAATAGTAGTATTTGAACAATACTTTTTAACGAATTCTATTTACATAAAACAAATCCCCAATACAAAACTGGCATCTTGGCTCATTTTATAAAGAATAAATTTGGCCAAAGCATATTAAAATATCTGCAGATAATCTGGCGTAATACTGAAAACACATGGATTTTACTATTTTAAAAAGTGTAAGAAGAGGTTCAGTTATACTAACAGAAAAAAATGCTAAAAATTTCGTAATATTGAATAAACGCTAACTAAAATGGCACTGTGTTAAAAAATAATAAGTACTAAGACCTCAAGGAGAAAATAGAATTCTAAACCAGATTTTGAGGTTTAGTACAGAAATTCAGAAGTGGAAAAAAAAAAGTTGGTAAAAGCTACTTTTCCTTCTCCATTTCTCCATTTTAAAAAATTATTTAATTTTTTTTGTGTTTAGGAAAACTTCCTAGAATTTCAAAACGTATGTTCCCATAGGAAAACTAAGGAAACTCAGAAAATACAAATGAGCAATTTTAGCTCACGAATATATACTTGGCCAAGATATCTGACTCAGAATATTAAAATGAGCAAAACTATTCTATCTGCTTTGTACCGAATTTTCAATAAAATCTTTGTGGAGAGAAGTATTCGACAACAGTGCGGTTCATTAAAAGCCTGGAGAATACAGGTCTCCACATATAGGTGAAGTTTTTTCTTTTAAAACCAGAAACACAGATTCAGTGTTTCACAGTAAACGTATTTCAGATTTTTAAGGGAAAAAATAAGCAGATGACTAGTAATATTTTCATACCATTGTTTTCCACTTTACATTTCAGGCTTATTTTGTACAAATCTATGAAGATAATTCACGGAAGTAATCGATATTTTGGGGGAGAGACTTAAAAGAGCTGACATAGAATTTTGCAATAAACCAATTCTTAAGGGTCCATGTAGAACAGTGTGTACAGTGTGTACGGTGCCACGCTAGTGGCACTCACTCCTCCTTTAGTGACTCTTATTTTGGTTCAAGACCCAAATGCAACCATCTGTTCTATTATTTACGTAACTTGAAACCACACCGAATTCTTCATTCCTAGAATTTGCCCATTGCTCTGGGTTATCAGGCATCAGACAATCACCTACTTTTTCCCCCCTCAGAATTCTTTTCAGATCTAACTTCCTAATAATGTCTTTGCTAGTGATTTAAAGGCATTCGGAATCTCAACAGAACAGACTACATTAGCTCCCCTTCTACTTGAACGAAACGCAAATGTTAAAAGATTAACTCAAGAAATTTGTACTATTGTGATGCTAGTAAATTTTCCTTAAATATGTCATGCTTAAAAAAAAAAAACAAAAAAACTTGGAATCATTCTTTTTAGAAAAAGAGCAAACATCTGATGGTGGAATAATATATAGGAGTGGCTCTCACTGTGAAACCAAGATTTGCAAAGTCAAGAGTGATCTGAAGCAGCTTCCCTACAACAAACTATACTAGTAGCAATGATGACTTGTTTTTGCATCAATAGAGCACACACGGATTTCCAAATTAAGAAACTGGTATCCTAATTTTAGAGGCAATCAGCTGTTTTTAAATGTTCTAAAAACACATGTATATGTGAGGTATATGCATGTATTTTATATACAAAGATATATGAACATATATTCATGTACATATATATGCATATAAAATGTGAACTTTTTTTAGTGTTTATAATGAGCAGTATTCCTGCAGCTAAGTCAGTCTACAAATTGACTTCTAAGAAACCAGCCCCAGCATCGATTCTGCTTTATGAGCTCTAGTCCTGAGGAATAAGAAGTCGCATACTTCTGATGCGATCCCTAGGCCTACGGCAGGTTAGGAGGCCGGTGCCAGCACCTCAATGAAAAATCCTAAGGAACTGCTTATTCATTGAGAATCTGGCCCATTTTCACTTTAAATGTTTAAATTATTTAGCTCACTTCAAAGGTCACTCTTGATGGTCCCTGCTAATATTTACAGGTAAAGTAATTTTTCGCAACGGAGTAGAGTATCTAACGAAGCCTGATAATGTAGTTTCTTGCAGTACCAAGATCTTCTTCTTCTCTTTCTTCTTTCCTTTTTGCCCCAATCACAAATGCAGTACTCCTGGCTGATTAACTGTTGGCAAATTTGCCAGCTTTCCGGGACGGTTCGTACGGCACTCTGAGGATACTGGGTGTCTCCTCCATGACCCTCACGAGGAGGTTGTCGATGTAGTCCTCGAGTTCCCGGATGTGGGTGTCTTTCCTCCGAAGGAGCTCTTTGTGCTTCACTAGCTCCTGGAGGACCTCCTCGTAGGTCAGACCCCGATACCCTGCAGTGGCATCAAAAGGGTTGCTGTCCTGGAACAGAAAAGATGGGTCACTTTAGGAGACAGAACCTGGGGGACAAATTCAGAATTTTTTTTTTTTTAAAGATTTTATTTATTTATTTGACAGAGATCACAAGCAGGCAGAGAGGCAGGCAGAGAGAGAGGGGGAAGCAGGCTCCCCGCTGAGCAGAGGGCCCGATGTGGGGCTCGATCCCAGGACCCTGGGATCATGACCCGAGCCGAAGGCAGAGGCTTAACCCACTGAGCCACCCAGGTGCCCCCAAATTCAGAATTATTTTGAACAACTTTTGATTTTTCAAACCCTGACCAAGTTTTTTCTGTGTCCGTGGTTAGAACCAATGTGACCGTTCATACTGCAGCTACTGAGTCCTGAGGCAAGAACTAGGGCAGATGCACGAAACCACTGACTGTAATTCTAAATCCTGCTAGAATCGTTTTTTTTAAAAAACACTGTGGACAATGTCCTAATACACGGAATTGGCCATATAATTTAGGATTAAGAGATAAAATGTTCTATACCAGATATAACTAAAATAAATTAAAACTAAAGATCTCTAAGAGTTTACTTGGAAAAACTTTTTTTTTTTTTTAAAGATTTATTTGACAGAGAAATCACAAGTAGGCAGAGAGGCAGGCAGAGAGAGGAAGGGAAGCAGGCTCCCCGCTGAGCAGAGAGCCCGATGCGGGGCTCGATGCGGGGCTCCATCCCAGGACCCTGAGACCATGACCTGAGCCGAAGGCAGAGGCTTTAACCCACTGAGCCACCCGGGCGCCCCTACTTGGAAAAACTCTTAAGAAGCTACTGGAAACTATTCCTTTGGACAATGGCTTTGGCCTCTTGGAATCGCTTCCAACAAACCGTGGTTTAATGTTACGACTTCGGCTTTTTATTGAAGGGGGCTTCAAGCAGCCGCAGTATCAGGTGTGCTTCTCTGCTTTGCTATGAACTGTTCAAGGCCTCCAGCATTAAATCAATGAGCAGCCTTGGGAGAAGCCCCATGGGGGTAACTTCTGTTTTAATTTAGAGGCAAACGGAGCTTTTTCCCCCTGAGGAACCAGTCTATTTCCTCCTCCTAGTGCTCATCCCCACATATCTTATTTCCCTTTTTGCCTTGGTTATTGGGAAACTCAGAATTCAGCTACAATCATGTGAAGGAACACTGAGGATCAGTGTATCTGCGTCCCTGCCTTTCACTTACTTACTTATTTTGCTAACCTTATTCTATCGGTATTCCTTTTTATATAATATAATTTTAAATAATATAAACAAACAGAAAAAGACACCGATTTAATTCATTTTTACTACAAGGCACTCAAATAGTAAAAGAAAAATATTTGTCAGAAATTTCATCAAAACAGCACTGGAATATCATCTACAGTGTCTAGGATTTAGATTTTTCGTCATATAAACACCCAAATATAAAGCAGCAACCTTTATGCCTTTTTATACATAGTTCTAGCCTTAAAACTCAACAGCTTAGAAATGGTTTTTATCACTTTCTTTCAAAACATTTCCATTCAGCTTTAAGGAAAATAAACTAACACTGAGGAAACAGGCCTTGCTCTTGAGGACTACCTGTTTCTAATCTATTCTGCGGAGGATGGAGAACAGCGACTGGAAGGTAAATGCGAAAAGGCCTTTCTCCCTTTTTTTATTTCATTAGATTAAATTTGTCTTTACTCCTTTTCAGGATCTACTTAAATCTGATGTATGTCTCACGCTCATTAGGAAAGCAAAAGTGTAACTTTTAGCCTCTCCCCTCCAGACACCCCGACTGTGCCATCCAGAGAAAAACCTGAAGAGCAGGTGGCAGTTGGATGCTTCTGTTCCCAGAGTCACTCCCTTCTCAAGCAAAACGGGAAAAATTCAGGATCAAAAACGGCTCCAACCTCATGGAATCTGTCGCATTTTATAGAGAAGAGAGAGCTCACGCCAGGCCTTCAGAGACTCGGCCAAGCAGAAATGGTAACAGGCAAGCAGTGGGCTCTGCTTGTTTAAAGGAGGAAACCAGGTTGAAGGCACAGGGGGCTGGACAACAGGTGATCAGGGGAGGATGGGCGCCGGAAAACAAGGTTCAGGGCAGGGCATGGAGAGGCTGAGATGGGAGTTTCCGACAGACTGTCAAGGATGCTGGATTCTTGCAAGGGAAAACGGGAAGCCACTGAAGGTTTCTAAACAGGGGCAGGATACGACTGAAGTGAAGTTCTAGGAAAATTAAAATGGCAGCAGTGGGGAGGAGCATGTGGAGGGGCTGAGATTCGTTGTAAAGCCGCTGAAATATTCAAGACAAGTGAATAAGAGCCTCCACTAGATTAACAAAATGAACAGAGGAGATGCCAATGGAGAGTGAGCTTCAATTCTGTAAGACTGTATTTAAAACAACTTACTTTAGCATAAGAAACTGGGGACAGATAAAACTTTAGCAGCTATATATTACCTTTGTCCCTAAAAGACATTTAAAAATATTGCTTTACCACAACTCTGGAGACAAATGTTGGTTTACTTTTCTTCTCTCTCTCAATCTTTTGTAATAATAAGAGTACACACACACACACACACACACACACAACTCTGGAGACAAGTGTTGGTTTACTTTTCTTCTCTCAATCTTTTGTAATAATAAGAGTATACACATGACACACACACACACACACACTCTCTCTCTCTCTCTCATGTATTTACTAATATTTTAAATTGGTCATGAGCAGTTTAGAGATATCAACCTTACAATTTCCTAACCACACTCTTACTAAACATTTACTATATTAAGCAGATTTCTACAGAAAACATAAAACACAGTATTGAGGTAAGCATATTTTTTAAATTTATTAAAAATAAGCTAACTTTCTTACTGTAACCCAAGTGATTCTGCCTAGAATTGAGAGTGATACCGGCCTAGGCCTCACTTCCCTTATCTGATAAATGAGATGTTCTCCATGGTTCCTTTCAACTCTAAAATTTCCTAGTCTATAAAGTAATTTGCTTTCTGAACTGCATTTTAGAAAAGTAATAACATCCAACTAATGTGATTTCATTTATCTAATAAAACATATACCGAAAAATAGACATTCTTGTGCGAATTGCATGGGTTAATGAAATCAACTAAATGGGTTTCATTACTGACTAGGTGACTGTTTTATATGTTTTCTTGGTTTAACAAAATAACAGCATCTCTCTAATCTTAATCAAATTATACATATATGAACTCATTTCTCCAAACTAAGTGATGATATTCAGTTAGAAAATCATTTATATTGTTATATTTAACCACATCAGCCTACCAGATAATGTGATTAAAAGTTTTTTCTAAACATTTCTCTAAAGACAATGATGAAAGACATGTTGAAAAATTCTTATTCTGACATATGTAGTTTTACATTAATGCCATGATATGAATCAATCTAACAATTTAATCTCTCAAAATAATTAATCATCATCCCAAGATACTGTTCAATGCTTTAAAGTCATAATCTAGAGTAGAAAGGCCATTATTTGGCTTATCCCCCCCGCCACCATCACCATCTAATACTTATGTACAGACAGATTTCCTGGAAATACATTTCTGACCTTTTCAATATATTTTCCATTTATCCTTTTATATGAAAATTTTCCCCTAAATTTCTGCATCAAGTTTCTAGGCAGGAAAACATCTTAGAAACACATGTACTATAAACTATATTCTGGAAAAGAATATAAAATAATTAAAAACAGTTTTGTGCTTAGTTCCAGGTTTTATCCCATATTTGAAAAGCATTTAACCCTTCTAATTTCAGGCATAAGATTCTCAAACTGACTGATATACTCAATACATATGTATAGATCTGTGTCTCCTTTTGTTGTTGACATAGTTCCCCCCAAAATAATAAGGATTAATATTAATCAATATAATAGGATATTAAATAATTTTCTGGTCACAAAAATTCTTTTGCTGAAAAGGAAAACTCTCAGGCAAATACAAAAATTGGTTGTCTTTCCAAAAGATAGTCTAATACTGTCCTTGGAAAAACTTCTAAAATTGAGAAACATCCGAACTGGTAGAGACTCGCGTAACCCACAGTGGGACTCCGGACTACTTAATATTTACTCCCGCAGCTCCACACAGATAGCACATGTGTTCTTAAGATGTCTTCTTATATTGCAATTTAATGTAAATTTGTCTTTTCTCTTCCCCTTTCACAACCAATCCTTTTGTCATTCCCACCCAACCTCTGTTCAAAATTTCCATATGCAGATATCAGCAAATAGGGAGTGGGTGAGAGATCAGCAGAATTATTACATGAAGTTTCCCAATCGGAATTTTAAATAGCAGACTTGTACAAAAGACTTTGGAGAATTCCTAGTGATCTATTTTTACTTCACAGAGAGCCTCGCCTTTTAAACTAGGAAATGTATATTTTTTGTAATATTTAAATTTCAACAAAAGCAAATTATCAGGACTCAAAATAACTGGAGATTTAAAGAAAGGTTGTCCTGGTAACCAAATATTGGTGGGGCACTAACTGACATCCAAGGCAGCTCGAGGAGAGAGAGAGAGATAAGAGGAAGGCTTGGCATTCTCTGATCATCTCATTATTGTTCTAATGAGGAACTTTGCTCTGGGAATATCATCTCAGCTACTTTCACATCTTTTGTCCTACTGCCTTCATCTCCCTTTCAGTTCTTAATTAGGCCTTAAAGAGCTCGCACTGCCCTTTCAACTGGCTACTGGTCCTGTTTAAACACTGCGCTTTCACAGACAGGTGTTGGCAACAGCATGGAAGACATACAAACTTAATTACAAAATACTACGTCCAGAAGGGGGAAAAAATAACTTGGTGGATGGCTATTATTGGAGAACTTAATGTAAAATTACTTCAAACATCTTATAATCTTCAACACAAAAATCATTCAAATACTTTCCCTCAAGAACGCTCGCTAGAAGGATGAGCTGTCTCCTCTTAATTGTATCCTGCAGTAAATTAACAACACCTAGTAATCCTTTCACTGTCATTTAGAATAGTTAGTATTCTGGAGAAAAATAATCACACATCAAGAATTCTTTTATCACCTTTAAATCCTTTAACTAAAACAATTTTCACATTTTATTTCTTTAAAGAATTCTAAGGATGCTTTTACAGCAATAAATTACAAGATTGGGAAAAGTACATTTACAAGCACAGAGAAATTGTAATTAAGGTTACTTAATAAACAATAGCTGCACATTCGATCGATTTTTTGATGTTGCATTTTGTTTGAGATTAAGTAACTGCCTGATAGAATTCATTTTACTATCTGATCAAAGGCTGGCTTCATATATTCTGACATTTCTCACCAGACTGCCATATTCTAAAGATTTGAGTATTTATGAAACATCAAAACTTATAAATCATTTACATAAAACAGCAAAAACGCAGTACAAAATCCTCGGCTTCTACAATGTTTTCTACAATTCTAAGTACAAATGACTACATTTAGAATGGTTTATACACCATGCCACACTGTCTTCTAGGCATATCACATCACAGAAAATTGTGATATGTTATTGCTTTAAAAAATTCTTATTATACATCTGGATCACACACATTAAGGACAGATGGTTCAAACAGCAACCACCAGCCTTTTGGAATAAAGACTCTATTTCTGTTATTCAGTGAGAATTCAGTTTTCTACCAAGAACATGTGCCCATATTTTTGTAAAGTAACTTACTCTCTAGGTCTGATGCATTTAGAATTAATTGACTGAAGATGCAGTGGAACTCGGAACAGAGAGTCAAATCTGGACTTCAAATAATAACAAAATGAAGTTAAGATATCTGAACGGTCCTTGCAAAATCTGTGAGTTAATCCGGCTGGTCGCTTCCAAGCCTGTTAATATATTTTGGTTTTGTTTGGACTAAGAAAGTAAGTGTCCTAAAGGTCCCTTCAAAGCCTCTCCCAGTTAACTAGACCCCTTGCCAGGATGCTTTCCTTATTGTTAATAAGGCAGTTTTATTCTTTCTTTGATTTTTGCCACAACAACAACAAAACTTGTTCATTTTCTCCATGTGCTCTTATTTCCTAACTATAATGTTGACCTTGACATACAGCTTTCACATCCATTTTAAAACAATCTGTAAACAAAATATGTGGATTCTAAATTGGCTTCAGTGAGAACGATCACATTTGCTTGAATTTCTACAGATCATAAAGTCACACCCTAATCGTATATTAAAGACAAAGCTGGAATTTTGCTTTTCTTCCTTCTCTCCAGATTGCCACATTAAACTATAATCCAAAGGTAACTGGGGGCTTCGGGATGAAGGTCTTTTTAAAAATGTGTACCAGACAGAAGGCAGGCTTGTGGCTTCTTTTCCTGTAATGCACTAACCCCTCTATAACTTACCGGGATTTTCCTGAGCTCCTCATTACTTGTCGGATTCATGTGAAAACTAAGGAACAAAAGACAAACACAAATGTTAAAAGTGTATTGCACAGTCCACGTGGTTGAGGAAACATAAAACAGAACCTTTCTAACCAACACTGCAACATCCTCAATGACGTGGATGAATGAAACTTAACCCAGGATGCAGGAGAAAAACAATATTTACTCAACACTGTAAAGCACCTACAATTTTAAACCTTAAACAATTTTAAACCTTTAAACCTAAACTGAAGGGAAAACCCTTCAGTTATTATCAGAACTGAAGAACTGTACCTCTAACTGTATAGTTTCTAAAAATCTTTAAACTTGAGTGATTTTATCACTTACTATTCACTTTATACACACACACTCACCTGAGGCCCTTCTGATATAAACTGTGGAGAATTCAATAAATTTTAGTCGGAAAGACTGTAGAATGCCAGAGTTAAAGCCATCTTTAAAAAAAATTATATAGGCATTAGAAATATTAACTTTTAAACATTATCCTATCAAGGAGAATGAGTTCAGAGTTGTATGAACTATTTCTGTCATTAATGCGATTTCTAAGTGAGTGATCTTCAAAATTTCAATACCCAAATGGACCAAAACAAGACGGATTTCTTCCAGGTGGAGAGTAAGAGAACATCACAGCTGAATGCCGTAATCACTTTCTTCTTTGAAACGTGTCCATTAGGAAGGGACTGCAACCAAAAAGAGGCTCAACTTCAAAGCCATCTGATGAGTCAACATTTCATCATTGCTATTCAAGTTTAACTTTTACGCAGCACTTAAGAGTACTGGACATTAGAGCCTCTACAAAGCCTTACTGTCCTAGGAACCTTTTTATCCCCCTCCAACCTCCAAAAATACTTAACTGTAAAATAGACATTTTTTTCATTATCTGTGTTTTATCAGCCAAATAATTGGGATTCTCTGAAGAAATTCCCTCCTACGACTTCTGGTGGTACACAGGGAAAGTCTGAACACTGGCTGTAACATCTGGACAAACTCTATTCCTACAGGCACATGTCCCAAGCTCTAAACCCATGGGGGCACACTTGTGTTTCTGGCATGAGAGAAGGCCTCATACGTCCAACATTTCATTTGTGTGACTAAGATTCTTAGTATGAGCTTCCCCAACTGACGACTGACCTTTTCTAGCAGAACTCCTGTGGATAAATTTGAGTACTTCAGTAGAGCTGGGTGACACGGTGGAGAAGACTGAAACATATTTTAGTTACCCACAAATGAACGCCCCAGCAACAGGTTATTGCATCTGATCCACCTTCTCATCCACAGTCTTTATGGTGTTCTGGATGGTTCCAGACTAGCGTCAGTGGGCCAGCAAAACCCTCAAGAGCCTGACCAAAGAGTGGCTTAAAAGAAATTAACAAAAATAGGGGCGCCTGGGTGGCTCAGTGGGTTAAAGCCTCTGCCTTTGGCTCAGGTCGTGGTCCCGGGGTCCTGGGATTGAGCCCCGCATCAGGCTTTCTGCTCCGCAGGGAGCCTGCTTCCTCCTCTCTCTCTGCCTGCCTCTCTGCCTCGTTGTGGTTTCTCTCTGTCAAATAAATAAAATATTAAAAAAAAAAAAAAAAGAAATTAACAAAAATAAAATCCAAAGGCCATGATCATAGGGCACACACAGGCCTGGAGAGCTGCGGGAGCGGCTGCTAACACATGGGGTCCCCGTCCTCCCTGATTTGCAGTCCGAGGCAGTCAACGTCAGGTTAGTCTTGGAGGGCCAAGTCAAAGAAAGGCCAAAGTCAAGGAAAAAGGAGGATTTAAAATTACATAGGTTTGGCAGAGAGAGAGAGAGAGAGAGAGAGAGCAAGTGTGCGTGCTCTGAAGATGGATGTGTGGCCTGGGGCTGCGAGACAGCAGGGCCATTGCAGGATATGGAAGAGACCAGAACACAAGGCTGTGTGGAAGAAGCAGCCCTGAGGGCTCTTGATGCAAAAAATGGGGCTCTCGGACCTGATCCCTTAGAGAAGCAGGCAAGATTTTGACAATTTCAATCTTTCATAAATGCTATTTAGACAGTTCGTGTCTGGTAGCATAACCCATAGCATTACGGCTGACCACAACAATGACTTTATGAATATCACGAGCAATATTATGACTGTACAAATGTCATCCTGTGTCTCAGGACAAAAGCACTGAACTGAGAAACGGAATTGCCGTCATTATATTTATTGTAATAAAGATTTTTTTCAAAAACAGACATGGAGGACACAGATTTTACCTGAATCACAAAACTCTCACTATGTAATACCCAGGAGCTTTGGCCTGTGGAGCCAAAGTGAGAGTGAGTGGCGGCCGGAAAAATGTCTGTGATTCTTAAAAATGCTGAAATCACAAAGGTCGCCTCCGGGAAGGGGCAAGGGCGTCGTGCGCAGCCAGCCCAGCTGCCCCCCCCCCCCCCATGGCTGCCAGCAGTGTGCGGAGCAGAGCTGAGGGACAGGGCTGTCGCCCGGGGCATTGTCTGCAATCCAAAGGCACGGCCCCTCCCTTGTGGTCGGCTTTATTTTCACACATTGACGTGTCAAACACATGACACACTCAGTCATTCATGGCTGCCTTTTTTGATCTGTCCTTAAGGGGGGGAAAAAGAGTTAACTGAACTGGACTGAATTAGCTTGGTGAAAAATAAAATGTCTCTATTTATCGAAGTGTGGCACCAATTTGCGTTATCTTTCTCTTTGGACGGCTGTCCTCCTGTCAGACAAGGTACAGAACAATGCGGTCTGACTGCTCAATGAGTTGCTGACAGGTTAAGGGAAATGGCGTTTTAATCAGGTGGAAGAGAGACGTGCTCCTACCGAAGAAGTCTACACAAATTTCAACTTCATGATTAAAGAAAATTAATTTTCGAAGTCAAAACTGGAAGGAGTTTGGGGGTGACAAAGAACTTTAAAGCAAATTTTAAGCTGATGAAAATATTTTAAATTTGTATTTTCCAAAATATTTTAAGCTAAGAAGGTGTTTTACCTGAACATTCTGAAGTTTTTATGTCAAAGTTTTTTTTTTTTTTTTTTTAAGATTTTATTTATTTATTTGACAGACAGAGATCACAAGCAGGCAGAGAGGCAGGCAGAGAGAGAGGAGGAAGCAGGCTCCTTGCTGAGCAGAGAGCCCGATGCGGGGCTCGATCCCAGGACCCTGAGATCATGACCTGAGCCGAAGGCAGCGGCTTAACCCACTGAGCCACCCAGGCGCCCCTGTCAAAGTTTATTTTTTACCTCCTGATTGTTTCCCAAATTTTAAAGACTTTCCCAAGTAAACTCTATTTTACAAGTTTAAATGAATACTGTTCAAATATATTTCAAGAAATCATTAGTGTCTCTTCTATAATGTCACTTATCGGTTTATTGTGAAGTTAAAATACCGAGTAAGGAGATAATTGGTGAGAACTTGAAACTGTCCAAAAATAGCTGCTATGGACCAGCCTTCCACAGAGAGGCCACAAAGGCCAACCAACCTTTACAAAGTGATAAAACTAACCACTGCACGAATCACTAAGGCAGTGGCTGCATTCATTTTCTTCTTTGTCCTTCCTTTTCTCTACCAAATATACTCTTTGAGAGCAAGAGTACCTAGGAAAGAGTAGAGACTATTGAGAGTGAAAACGTATAAAGTCCTTGTCAAGAAAAAAACCCAAAGCCCCACCGAAGAACAAAGCTGAGTAACGATTTGTTAGCATTAGACACTGTAAACTGTGCAAATTCCTGGCTCTTGGACCTTCGCTCTTTCAGTGAGAAGTCACTTAACCACACTTGAAGCTCTTCTGAAGGCATTTAAAAACAAGTATTATTACATCTTCCATAATATCTCTTTCCAAGCCCCATTACTGCTGAAATTATAAAGCTAAATGCATTTTTTGGCGTATACCTTGGCCCATTTTGTGTTTAATAAGGGAATTCAAGCTATTCGCAAAATCCAGGAGGTGACTCACCTGGCTGGAAGGGGGCGAAGAAGGAAGGGCAGTGTAGCAGAGAAGTAACCTTTTCAGACACAATTCAATTCCTTATGTGTAGGGGAAAGAAGTATAACTTTGAACTATCACAGAAGAACTTCTAAGATCATCTGCAAAGGACACTATCCTATTGCTCTTGTTTAACTGTGAGAGTGGACACTAGAGACCCAGGGCTTCTTCTGGTGATAAATGTAGTTGCGAGCAGAGAACTCTAATGTAACGGAAAACTTTTAAAGAATCAGAAAAGAGGAAAAGGAAAAATAACGCAGTGACAGTGAAGCAGGGGCAAAGACTGACAGTAAGCCTTGCGACAACTGGTATTTTACCGACTGTAACCGTGCTGACAGATCCCTTTCAGAGCACCTCACATGCTAACTCACTTAATCCTCGTAACATGCAGTTTTTGTTCCCATTTATGGCAGCAGAAAGAGGCACAGAGAAGTTAAGAAGCTTACTCAAGGTAACACAGTTATCAAGGGGCAGAGTTGGGATGCCAAGAAAGGCAGCCGGATTCCACAGTCCAAGCTCCTTAGCCAGGGGCTGGGCTTCTTGCCCTCATGTGTTCTAAACCCTCAGTCCTGCCCTGAGCTCAGACAGGATTCGCTTCAGGGAATGCAGGATAATTTCCTGAGGTTTCTCCCAATCAGAAGTGACTAAGAAAAGTCCAAGACGATCTTAAAAGAGGTAGAACACGGGCTGCAAAGCAACAGGTTTGGAAAGAACTGTGCCCGCCGTCTCGTTTGCCCTTGCTGCTCCGTCCTCTGCCCCTGCCCCTGCCCATACCCCAGGAGGATGATGTCTGGAGAGTGCAGTCCTCTGGGCCACCTTCCCCAGGGGCTTCCAGTTACTCTCTGGCCCTGGGAGGCACCTGCAAGACAGTGGGGACGGCAATGGGCAGCAGGGGGCAGGGCATGTATTACCCCCAACACCCCCGCTCCAGCCCCCACTCATTACTGCCTCAGGCCCTCCCCACTGTGCTACAGTTTTAAGCAGTAGCTTCGGTCCCTTCGCACCGAACACAGCAGTCCCTTCTAGACACTGCTGGCTCCTGGGGC